TCGGTGTGCCACAACAGAATGAGCAGAGCGGCGGAGACATATCGGAGGATAGACGCCATTGAAGGAGAAGCTTTGAATGCTTCAATTCGTTAAATTTTGGCGGGGTTTCAGTTATCCGATTGGGATTTCTGATTTGGAACTTGGCAGGGCTTTCTTATTCGATTGTTGAATTGTAAAATTTAGTAAGATATTTGGGCCATAAATTAAATGGGCCTACCGAGGATAGCTTAATGGGCTTGAATGCACGGGAACACATTAGCCTAGAACATACCGGCGCACATTAGCCCTCAGGCCAGATGTATTAGAAGCTTCGAGAAACAGACAAAAGGTGAAAAGGGGATTCTGACTTCTAGCTACAAGTTTAGTTCGCCATAAAGGTTGATCATTTACTATCCAAAACACAACATACATGATACATCTTTATTACACTCCCGTATTTTGTTAGATAATACTAACTTAATTGAGGGCTTAATCAAATTTTAATTATTAAACTACTCAAATTTCTCTAACTCCAATCAACACTTTCGTTAAAAACCAAACAATCTTATACTTGGCTTAATAAAAAATATACATTTTAATTCAATTCATGTCTTTTTTTCTTTACATGGTGCATTGGTAGCCGCCTGCACCAACCCGACTTAACATTGGCCAAGCCCCATTCATATAACGTTGATGCATAGATATGGATTCAAACCCCTTAATCATATATATGCGTAAGAGATAGTGTATATATTTTGATTGAAACTCGCTTTGTGACAGTTGGTTTTATGACTAAGGGTATGTAATCACTTGACAGGTCAACATAATCAATCAAATCAATAAAATATAAGTAATTTGAGAGGTAAAAGGGAAGAGACACAACAATTTTAACGTGAAAATCGAAATGTAAAAATCACGAGTCTTTTTGAACGGTGTCAAGCCGGAATTCACTATTTTTTGTAGGTAATATATACATGTATCATCGTGTCCCTCTCTTCGTTCCTTGACTCTAGCTTTTATAGTAGAAGAATATGTAGAGTAGTATAAGGGAACGGTAATTTGATATTTATGGGCAACTAATGAGATTAAGGGCTATTATTAATGGTATTGGAGATAATTCCAGCATGAACTTCTTGTATTTTCATTATAGATAGATTAAGGCCAGTATATCCCACTTGAAAATAAACATGAGCATACAAAATTTATAAGTTGCATGATCTGTTTTTATTTATTTATTTATAATCTTCCATTGTTCTTTTAGAGCAACTATAGTCTTTGTTACTAGGCCTGAGCATCGGACGGGTTCCAACGGTTCGGGTTCCCGAACCGTCAACCCGTTCGGATTTCGGTTTATATTTAGCTAATTCAATGCGTAAAATTTTTGTAACTAAACCGGCGGATATATACATTTTCGGATTCGGATTTATTTTATCGGATTTCGGTGTTGTTCGGATTTATTTAAACAAAAAATACTAAAAAATAAATAAACTTAAAGTTTTCAATGTATACAACACAGTATTCTGTTTTCACACAATATACAAATATACCATGTATACAACACATGAACACAGTATATCAAAAATTCAAAATAAGATGAATGAATGAAAAAAATAATAATAAACTAGGGTTTGCGATTAGCCGATTACTTCGTTTTTCCCAAAAACTTCTCAGAAAACAAGGGCTTCTAGCCTTCAACGAGACTACGACCGTTCGAGACTCTGACGTGGGGCTTCCGGCTTCAACCTGTCACCACCGATCCATCGAACCACCGATCTGCTACCGAACCACCAAGAATGAGCCATCGGAGTAGAGATTCGAGAATTGAGAGTCTCAGAGAGTGAGATTGTGACTCTATGAGAGCCTGAGAGGATTGAAAATTGAGAAACTACCAGAATTGGTGGGTAGAGAAACTGAGAGAGAAGTAATGGATTGAGAACTGAGATTTGAGAAGGAAAGAAGATACAAAAATTGTAGGAATGGTGGGTAGAGATTCTCTAAGAGAGAGAGAAGAAAGCAGCTTCGCAGTTGAGAATGAAGGAATGACTGGTAGGGCATCTTCTTATAACATATATATATATATATATATATATATATATATATATATATATATATATAATCAAAACGACGTCGTATAGATGTATTTTAATCTAACCCTAATTCTTTTCGGATATTCGGACGGATCGGGTATCATATTATACTACCCTATCCGAATTAATCAATCCGACATTTTATTCAGTTTGGGTCGGATATCCATACTTCGGATACGGTTATCCATACAACGTATGGTTTCGGTTTTCGGTTCGGACGGAAAAAAAACGGGGCGGTCGGATATTGCACAGCCTTATTTGTTACACTGACCAAGTGGTTTAGGTCAATATTAGGCCATGTTTCCTTTTATGTAATGCTTTCATGCTCAACAGATGTATAAAAACACTTCAATCTTTCATGTTAAAGTATGACGATAGTTCATTATGTATAGTTTATTTACAGCTTTTATATATATTAGTTAGTGCGTTGAATGTAACAAGCTCAATTATAGCTGAAGATCTAAAGATTTTGCAAGTTATGTTTGAATGGTTGTTCCTAATCTTTTTTTGATGGGGTGTTGTTGCTGGAAATAGTGAAGATTGAAGAACATGGCGGGTGTGAATTGAAGTTGATGTAAATTTGTTAACTTGTATTGAGTTATGTGTGAAGTTTCTAATCTGTTTGTAGTGTTTTTGTAGACTTTTAGTTGGTTGATGTTGTTATGAATGTTTTGAACTTTGAAGCTTGGACTTTGATTTTTTTTTTTTTTTTTTTTTGGAGTACTGACGCATGAATTAAATAGGTCAAAATCGAGCTCGAATTCGAGCCATGCTGAGTCGAGCTTCAGCTTGAGCTCGAGCTCGACTCGTTTGCACTTTTAGCCAGAATGTCTTCGAAACTCCGCCGATGCATTTTTGATTTGCTATTACTATAAATAAAAGTCACTATTTTAGGGGGCGTTTGGTTCACAGAATGTTATATTACCTTAGAAAATGTTAGATTGTTGAATGTTAGATTACTGTAGAGGTAATCTAACATTTCGTGAACCAAATACGGGAATCTAACATTTTCAGAGAAAGTTACATAACCTGAACCAAACATGTGAATCTTATATAACCTGAACCAGTCTTATATTAGTGTTTTGGGTCTAATGTATTAAATTAATTAATATGTCTAATTAACTTCTTACATAAAATTGAAGGGTGTATTTTACTCATTTTCCTTAATTTTTTTCAAAAAGTATTTTGGATTACATGTTAAACGATTTCACACGAAGCTAAATTTGACTACATTTACTCTAAGCTAACCGCACCAGGGGTTTTGGCAAGACCACCTTTGACTACATTTACTCGACCGAAACGCATCCGGAATCTCGGCAGGGGGGGTAGGATGAGGCAAATGCAATGCACCCATCATTTAAACACAGAGGGAAACAGATGAGAAGCTTGCAGATGTAACGCCCAAAGAATAAAGCATCTATTGACGACGAAGGAGGAGGCAGAGATTTTGATGATTCCTCCACACACTCATTTACACGCTTCACCAACCAACGCTCCAAGACAAAACTACTCTATAAATGCATCCAATGCCCCTCTCCACAACTACTTGGCAATAATAATTATGTAATAATCATGAATAGAAGATGGTAATCATATCATAATCCTGTCGTATTAACACCACCACATATGTACATGCCAATTCGTGGAAGTACCCAAATAACACGTAGTGACATTTATATAATTTTGTAATGATTCTCAATGATACTAAACGCGATAAGATGTATAAATATTACTACGTGTCATTTCAATATTGCTATCTACCAACGTCACTTAAAAAATTATTCTCAAATTTCACCTTTCTAAATCTGTTGTCATAACATAAATGCAAAATCACAACAAATAACGCATTAAATATATTGAGATTTATTCAATACACAACCAATTATGTTCATGGATAGTTCTGTTAGTCACATGAATGAAGTTTTTAAATAATAATTCAGTATCGAGTCTTATAAACGACATTATATTAACAATCTCTAAAATGAGAAGTGTTGTTTGTGCACAATATGTAGAGAGTGTTGCGGTGTTGGGGATTTAATCCATTCTCCAGAGGGTAGCCGGGATAAGACTTTGATGTATTGATTTCTGTGTTTTACTCTACTTCAATCAGTTTAGTGTCTTGCCGGAATGCCGGCACCGAATACCACTGTACCTTAAACAAATGTTTTTAAATTTTAAACATGTCTGGTCAACCCCAAAACGGCAGCTTCAATTTTTTAATCTTACTCCTTTTTTTAATAACTCAAAATTCAGTAAAATATATATATAAAAAAATAAACAACAAATTTTAGGACAACACAATTAAATTAGTCGTTACCGACTCAATAACTATAAAATTTAGAGTTGGATTTATTAGTCTGTTTAATCTAAATTAAAATACATCGTCAAACTAGGTTTATACCTTTTTTGCAATTAACACATTAACATTTTTCATTTAAACGCAATTAAAAATTTCACTTTTACAAAAATGGAAGGACTAATTTTATACCTCTAAATAACGTATGAACCAATTATATATATAGAACCTGATTGATAACATAGTTAGTTTATGAATCAATTTTAGCTCATTTGACTTAGTTAAATAATCAAAATGAGTGTTTGATTAATTAAATTTTTATATTAATTTATTGTTTCAAAATGTTAAAATTTTAAAAACTATTCAAAATAGTTTTTTTGAAAAAGTCATTTTGCATGTAATCAAATATATAAGTATCTTATTAAGGAATGTCATTTTCACAATATTGTTTTATATATTAACAAAAAATATTTGAACTTTACATGTAACACATTATTAATTTATTATGTTGACGAAAGTAGCGGTGGTCTAACAATTGATGATAAAATGACGGATATGCCCCGGGGATGAATGACATGACGGTCCCATGCACCCCAGTTATTCAAACTATCTTATGCTTATCCTCAGAAAAATCCATACACTATCATTTTCTTTCTCTCTCTACTTTTCTTTCTCTTTCTAACTGTGTATTTATAGTGTATGTATCGATCCCGTTCTTCACCAGTGTAAAAATATCTGTCACAGAAAATTATCTAGGAGCGAAGAAGCTTCAAACGGAAGAGCTCTGAGAAATCGGATAGGAAATTTTGTAGGGGAAAATCCGCCCGAGAAAACCGGCGGTTATGGCGTCCACGTCAGCTGCGCCGGCCAATCCGGATCGCCCGCACCAGCCATCTTCTCCGTCTATACATGCCTTTGCTGATCAGCTTCACTCCGATCACACTCGAGGCTACGGGTCGATGAACATGGATGATATAATCAAGAGTATTTATGCTGATACCAATACCCTGGCCGCCGCCGCCGACAGCTGCTCCTCATCCGGCGGCGCCGGCGGAGGGGGGAACAAGACGGTGGATGAGGTCTGGAGGGAGATTGTCAGTGGAGGCGGAGGAGGAGGAGGGGCAGGAGGGGGGAGTAGGGACCCGGAAATGACGTTGGAGGATTTTTTGACGAAGGCTGGGGCGGTTAGGGAGGAGGACGTTAGGGTTCCGGCGATTCCTCCGCCGCCTCCCCCTGCTGCAGCGGTTACGCCTGGATTTAAAGTGGATGCCATGGTGAATGCGGCGAATTGTCAGTTTCCAGTCGCCATGCAGACTGGACCGGGTGGATTTGGTGTGGAGCCGCCTCACATGGGGTTCGGGAATGGCGTGGTGGCTATAGGATGTAACAGCGGCAGCAGCGGTGGCGGCAGAGGGAAGAGGAGGGCAACCGTGGAGGAGATGCCCCTCGATAAGGCCACGCAGCAGAAGCAGAGGCGAATGATCAAGAACAGAGAGTCTGCGGCTAGGTCCAGGGAACGAAAACAGGTTCAAAAATCAAATCAGTTTTGAATTCTTTGTCATCTTCGATTTAATAAACAATTGTGTCTCAATACTCTGTATTCAGAAAGAATTCGATAAATAAATGCATTTTCTGTTTCAATTAAAATTGCAGGCTTACACTGTGGAGCTGGAGTCTCTGGTAACACAATTGGAGGAGGATAATGCTAGGCTTCTGAGAGAAGAGGTATTTTTCTCCAGTGTAAATTTGAGTTTTGCACTTGATATAGAAAAAATTGGATTCCATGTGCAATAATATGCAATTTGACTTTGTTTAAGTGATAATTTTCCATGTTATATGTAATAAAAAACAATTCTTTTGAGTGATGTAATCAAACTGGTAGGGCATGTTTTCCTACATTGTTTTTATCCTAGTCTCCAGTGTGTAATGTGCTTTGACAATTGTGGCAATTTGTAAAGTTAATACCTTTTCCCCACCTCTTTTGGGTGTTCTTTTAATTATCTTTCTCATTGATTTGCAGCTTAATTTATTTCCGAGAACTTTTATCTGTGTAGATTTATTTATTCATTGTGTAAATCGTGTGCTTTTGATGATGATGTTCTTTCTAGATTTTCCTTGTTAACTGTTGGCTATGAATGTCTGGTCTTGATCTCCTTGCTTTTAAGAAGGGTCAGTTGCTTAGATCAGTATACAGTAACTGTGGTTCAAGGAACATGAATATTAAGGGTCCTTGTATCTTTTCGGCTTTGTAATTGTCATACTACTATAATAATTGTGTCATGACAATAAAGTACTTTCTACCATACTTGTATGTATTCAAGTTTTGGATTGTTAGGGATAGTTTTGTAACTTGAAGATCAAGTTCAATGTTACTAAAGTCGGGGTTTTATTTCTTAATAATTAATACAGGCGGAGCAGAATAAGAAGAGACTTAAGCAGGTATTATTATGGTTCCAGCTTTCTAATTCTTATTTTGAATTAATTATCTTCATGCAACTTCTTGTATGCATGTTCTGTCATCTCCTTCTTTGAGCAGATGTGTCAACTAACTTTTATAGCAAATTGTTTTCTCAAACTCAACTCTTGGTTTAACCCCGTTCACTGCTACTACTTGAATTATGTCAATATGGTCAAGCAGGTGATCTTTGCATTTACACGGAAGGAATGTACTCATATTATTATTATTATTTCCATGTAATTGTAGTATTTCTCAGATCTCATATCCTAAGGTGCTTGTACTCTCAATGATTGATTGTGAAGTTTTGCTTAACTGTTTATATTAGTCATTTGTAGCTGATGACATGAGTAGTCTTTAGTCTAGACTCTAAACCAATCATTTGTAGCTGATGACTCTAAACCATTGGAAGAAAGAACAGGCCAGGCTTATATGGTAACTTTGTGGGAATGCTGAAAACCTGCTATGCATTTTTCAAAATGAACTTGGATAATTAAGTACTGATAACTTCTATAAGGAGCAGGCCTTAGAGATATTATTTATGCATTTTGATATAGTTACAAAAGCTTTTAACAACATATTTTAACATCATAGTCCACAGAATCAAGTCTGAGGGAGTGAGGGGGCATACCATCAAGTTCCAATGGTGCATTTATTCTTTCATTTTTACTTTTTGATGGTACATAGGTAGGGAATGGAAGATATATACTCTGTCAAAGATTTCAACTTATCTCTAAGCTAAACCCTAGACCACATTGCAAAAACCTTAGTCTTCATGCCTGGCATTAGCTGTCACTAGCTCTTAAATTCACTTTCCCCGAGTGGTTTCTAAGATTGATAACCACAGGCATATGTTTCATATTATATATGAAGGCTGCCACATGTTGGAGCATATTAGCTATATGAATAAATTCTTTCTTGATTGGCATGACTATTAGCCCTGGATGGAAATTTTCCCAAATATCTAGCCATTTGATTCACCAAAGCTTTTTTGCCCGTATGCTGTTCTGTTATCACCTTTTGCAATTGCTCTGCCAGATGCTCCAGCCATTTCGTAATTGATGTACTGATGAGTCTAGGGCTGAAGTGCTGGATAGTGTGGGTGTCATAATGACCCTTCCTCACATTTCCCTTTACTGGATGCTTCATTACAATGAAACCCCAAACTTTGTGTGATTGAGTTTGGGGAAACATTGAAAAGTTTTTAAAAGTTAATGTACATTACAAGGCATCACCTTCCAAATTTTATATAGCTACAAAACAAGCAACTAAATTTCTAAAAGTAAACAAAACCTTGAGTTTTTTGGGTTGAGAAAGTTATTTGTCAAGAAGCATTTGTTAATGGATAGCTATGAGCTGTGATAGAGCCCACGGGCCGTAGCCAGTTACTCAAATGCAATCATCCAACTTCTAACTCGAGCATTATCCCAATAGATAGAGATCCAATATGTCCATACCCAATATTAAGTAACCTGACTGCTAATTGTTTGAGGCCTAGTGGCTTGGTTCAGTCTTCCTGAATGTAATATGGATGTTTCCTTCTGATTATCATTCTCTTTTTTCATTTCCCGGCTTCTTTTCTAATAATTTTGTTTAAACACAGCTCATGGAGAATCTGATTCCTGTCGTGGAGAAGAGGAGGCCACCAAGAGTTCTGCGCAGAATCCATTCCATGACCTGGTAAGTTGTATCATCATATCATAAACAGTAACAGCGGGTGACTGGTTAACCAAGAAGCAATATCGGCTATGGCAAAATCTGGGGGCGACATATATGGTTGGAGCTGTAATGGATGTTTTAGACTTGAACATGAGTAGGGCTATAAACAATGTGAATCAAATGTGTAATTGTGGGTCTGCATAAGTTAGCTGCAGGTGTAATAGAATAGGGCCATAAGTTTCTGCTTATATTAACTATTGTAGCTTCCGCACCATTGGTGGCAGGGAAGAATGGTGAACTTGGCTGGTTTATACATTTAATGAATATGTATTTTAGAGTAAGAATTGCAGTTGGGTGTCTCCATGCATACATATAAACTCAGGGCAGGGAAAGAACTGTTGCAGTGAAGTCACTAAATTGCCTTATTTTGCTTTCAATTCAATACATGTATGTTTTTGAGATTGTATCGGGTACTGTAAGGTCAAAAGTTGACATTACCCGATACAAAGCACACATGACTGTAATTAGAGAGTAATGGTGTCGATTGGCGTTGACATTAGCCAATACAATAAAAGCATACATGACTGTAACTGGTGTAAAAAGTACTAGTGTTGATCGATATTATAGACTGAACTTTCCAGTCATGTTGATGATGTTTAGATGGTAATACTTCATTTCTAGTAGAGATCATAACATGAGTGTATTATTGCATGAACATTATGAGATGTGATGAGATTGTGTCAGCCTGTCAGAGGATTCAGACAGGTGCATAGCCAGAACTGGGTGTGATGAGGCTGCCAAACTTCATTTATGCAGGTGAAGGCTCATTTTCAGGCCTTGAATGACATGACAATATAACCAATATACACAGAGATTATACACCACACAAGAAATGAAGGGATCATTGGCCTGTGAAAACTCATGGCCACAGTTTGATTAGTAGGCCAAAACTATACAATCATTCAACATGTTAGATATGTGTAACTGGGCCAATCCTGACCAAGTTGGTCGGACAGCTGACTATCACACAGGTTTCAAGTTTGATTCTCCGTGGGAGCTGTCTATTAGCCTTTTTGGTAGAGCCGATCAGCTATGGATAACTTAGACTGGTTTATTTTATTGTGGCTTTTTTAATTTGAGCCCGATCAGGTTATGGGCAAATCTAAATTGATTTACCTCTTTGTAGTCACGAAACAGGTTTTGTCCTTAGTGCACCTTCGGGTAGCGGTTGTGAGTGTGACTGTACAAGGTGAAGTCTCCAGAGAAAGGATTCTGTCACATGAAGTAGTAACCAGGTCCCTTTCCTGACTACATAACACCCAACAAACAGGATTTGTGGTGCAGTCAACTTGCATTCTCTGATTCAGAATGTTTATAAGCCTCACATGCTTCCAGTTTCTCCAGCCTGTTCTCACATGGCATTCTCAAGAATACAACAGGCAAACAGGTAACAACAGAGGGCCAACAGATAGCTAACACATTAATTGCAAAATCACATCTTATTAAAACCTATAGGACAGGGCACATGAGGATGGTATGCATCAAAAGTGGGGGAACACTAAAGCTCCACACAACAATGACACCTTCAATGCTTAGACAGGATAAGGTGTGCATGCTCATAGTGTTTGAACCCGAAGATTCGTACACAAATGGCTTTCTTGATGCCAGGATCACGATTACCACTATATCAAAAGATGGCGGGCCCCAGTGGCAAGATACTGAACTTGACCCTCCAGTCCTCCCCCAACACTTGAGCAGCATGAAATGAGTGGAAAAGGGTATGCGTTCAACAATTACGCTAGGATCGCGATTACCACTATATCAAAAATTGGCGGGCCAGTGGCAAGATACTGGACTTGACCCTCCAGTCCTCCACCCGACACTCGAGCAGCATGAAATGAATGGTAAAGGGTATGGGTTCAACAATTACGCCGCGTTTTGGCAATGATGTCATCCATTGAAGGGTGTAGCTCAGTCCTCAATCAATGAAGAGGAGGTCCACTGAGAATATACATCATTTCAAGAGTAAAATGCAACAAATTCAGCCCATTCATTTAATGAAGACATTGGGGGATCATATTTCTTGAATCTTGACTCAAACTCATTGCTATGGTGATGAATTGCAGCAAATGCTAATTTGTATCAAATCATCATATTAATGCAAATAATGTACACAACTATATTGATCTCAGTTTGCATTACATATAAGGAGTAGAACGAGTATCATGGGAACCTTTGGGAAGGATAAAAACGAAAAAACGTTTCTTTGACATTCCTACAAGTGAAAACAATGAACACAGGAGGAACACTCAATATGGACACTCTTTTTCCTTTACTTTCTTTTCTCAGAAGGCATATTTATAAGTACAAATAGTTACTTCCTAATATGGAATAGTAATCTTAGAAAGTATTATGAATATAGGGAAACTACATGAAAGATCCAAACATTTAATGTTCGAAACTTACTATGCCTGAGTTGCCTTGCCCAGAAACTCAAGGCCCTCAACCCGACAAGTCACGATTTTTCTAAACACTTCCCTTAGATTGCGTTCTAGAGGTTCGAGTTCTGTCTTAAAAACTTCACAGATTGATGATAACTCGAGAATTCTCCCTCTCAGTTCTTCCTTTGATTCCTCAGACAGTGGTAGCTGCACCGAGTCTACCATGTCTGTCAAGTGGTTTACGCCCTCTTCAATCTGATAAATTTCCTTTAATAGTCCACTAGAATTGCGACGCTCTCTCTTCTTGGACTCGTCCATTATCCGAGCCTGAAGGATATGGAAAGGACGGCTCCAACATTGCCTAGGTACAACAATGTTAATCTGGATGCCTCGATCCTGGCAAGGGATTGCAGCAACGAGAGCCCAAAGAACGAACATTAGGACGAAACTCATAGTGAACACGAGAGTTGCAAGACCATTAGAGGCAGCGATTTCGTTTGCTCGAGGGGGGACTAAAGTGTTGGCGAGTAGCTGGAGCTGCTTGGAAGCAGACCAGGAATGAGACACGCTCCAAGACAAGGACCTCGAGTGCCCGGATGGGGAATTAAGGTGGTCTTTAGTACGACGTTTAAAAGACCTGTTCCTATGAGAAAACACAGACCCTCCATCTTTCTCGTCCAGCATTCCAAGAGCCAAATCCATTAACGCCTTTCTTGCTCTCCGGAGGTGACCTTCACCGATTGCTCTTTGTTGCGGTGGGTTCAAAGCACACACTACAATCTCCAAATGCCTTTGCCACAGCCTAATCTTCTCGAGCCCATCCCGGGTTGCATTGCAGATGTCAAGGGCCTTAATCGTCCTATCGAAATACTCAGCCAGGATCCTCTCCCCGGGCTGCTTCGAAAGCAATGCATTCTTGTTGCACATTATAACTCTGAAATCCTCCACACAACTCGCGAATGCTTCCAGCAGCTTACGAACCCATGAAACCGAGAGGAATTCTTTGCCATTAGCCACTGAGAGATCGTTGAATCGAGTGAACACCTGGGATTGAAATGACTCAATCTGGGAGTCTTGGCTACTGGATCCTTGGTCCAACACCAATGCATGAACCTGATCGCCTCTGAGAGTCAAAACTGGCCTTCGAAACGAGACGAAAGGAATGGGAGATTCTGAAGAGGGCATTCTCACACAATATAGAAGAACCTCAATTCAGCAAATTCTCATGAACATCACCTATTCCTAACCATCATCACCAACCAAAAACACAGTGACAAATAAATCAATTACTTTGTTAATGGGAAAATCTCAAGGAAAATCCATACAATAAGCAAAACCATCCATGAATATTGACACAATCACATTCATACATAACGAGATAATTACCCATAACAACTGACTGACTCAAACTAAAAACGGCCAATAGACCGCTCGAGTCAAACATGATCACATTCAAACAGGATGGCCAAGCCATTTCTCCAACCAGATAAAGAAGACTCAATGAAAATTTGCAGAACCCCGGATAAAAAACAAACCAATAAACCAAAATTCTGACAGGCACATCAAGAAAAACAATAAATTTGCTAACTTTTAGACTGGGATGAGAGAATTTGAAGTGCTCAGATCAAGAAAGTTCAATAAAAAGGAGATTTGACAGACTAATACAACCAGCTCCAGAGATTTCAACCAAATGGTAGTTTGGAGCCAAGAAAATGCATTCAGTAAGAAAGATTTTCCCAGAAACAGGAGAAAAAACAAAGGAGAGAGAAGAAAAGCTAAATGGGCAACAAGGGACATTGATCATTTCATCATACCTTGCAAACCTCCATGTTTGAAGATAAGCTTAGACTCTTAGAGAGTAATGAAATGCAGATATGCAAATATCCATGAAGCTCCCCTGGATTTTGGTCCGGGAAATCAGAATGCAAAACAGGAGGCATATATTGAGCAATATATATATCGTGGACCAGGCCCCACGAGCATTGTGAACTTGGTCCAAATTATATACATATATATAACATATTATATACATTCCACACGGGTTTAACTCACTGATTTAGTACACGGAGAAGACACTAAAGTTTGAACCCCAACAACGATAGTGTAAGAATTATGTCCAAAGTGAATACATCTCATTTTAAGTTTGAACTTGGACAGCGATCAATATGAAAATTATACCCAAAGTGAATAGATCTCATTTCGTCGGATCGGGGTGGGGACCCCTTAGGATTGAGGATTCAATCTTTTAGGAAAAGTGAAAGTCTAACCCCTCTTTAACATTGGTATATGGTGCATTTCTACAACAGTTGAACTTTGGACATTGCACATAAATACATTTTGTTTTAATATTTATAAGTTATATAAGTAATGGCCTTTTGGGTAGATGGTCTATATTATCGTATGTTGCGTCAGTCATTAGCAATTGTATTTTTATTATGAACGTAACTCTTTGAATATTTGCGGTGTTTTTTCACATTTGTCGATCAGCGAATCAATTTGTCCATACCCTAATTAAGACGATTGATTCTCAAGTTGGTATGTGTTATTGGGAGGATATTTCGGCCTCCTGCATCTGTCTTTGATTTTTATGAGTTAATGCACTTATTTTGATTTAGCTTTCACAAAAAAATTAATGAAAGAAGTTTAACAATATCAGAATACATTGTATTTAGTATCATAAATTAAAATAAGCGCTGATATTTTATAAATAGACTTATAATCATTTACAAAAACAATTACTGTTTCTTTTTATTTTTAATAATATACATCACAACACCTTATTAGTGTCATAAAATTTTTGGTTATTAGATAGTACCAAAATAGAAATATTCTCCATATGAAATATCAATAGGGATCAAAATAATGTTAGGATGAATGGTGCCGACATTATGTAGGCCATAGGGTGGGGTGAATGGGGCCCGCGTATGAGGTAGGGTGGGGTATGGTGAAGGAGGTTGGCAGGGTGGTGCATCCTATAAGGATATGATTATACATTTTTTAGATAATTGTAAAAGTAAATTGAAGAGTAAAATTTCATCATAAATAAGTATATAACAACACTTCTAGAAGAATTACTTTTGATCGAGACTTAATTTTACTAGATTGATTTTTTGAAAATTCTAAAAAAGTGTTGATAGAAATCGAATTCATAACTTTTTAAGTACAAAAATTATATTTTATTCATTTGATCATTATTTTTAAGACTTAATAATAGAAAGTTATGGTAATATGGATATGTGGGTAGGAGTAATTTTATTAAGGGGTAACTCTAGTTGAGTTGGTTGGAGTTAGTTTGGTAATTACAAGATTTTAAATTTGAATTTTTGTTAAAGCGACCTATTTGCTTTAGAGTAGTTAAAATTTTAATTGTTTAGTATAAAGAGTAATTAATTGATCATGACACGTTACAAATAGGTAGGTTATCAACAAGTAATAAATTACTCCGTACAATTTATCTATACATGGTATATGCATTAATTACTTTAAATTTAGGAACTCATAAAAATCTAATTCATTAAATTTGCTTGGATTACTTTCTCAAATATTTTCAGCCCAATCAATTTAAATCTCCCATCATTTCGAACCTATAACCATCTATTTAATGGTAATCGGGATGTCATCACACTCTATGATATATAGTTAATGACACAGAGAGAGTAAATATTTTAAAAATAATAACAAAATTGAATAATAAAAATAGGTGCCAATTGTCAAATAATATTGATACCTATTGCATCAAGTACAAGCTTATATACTTGTTTTAAAAGCATATATGATTATAGCTGGTGCAAATATACCGGCGTCAATCAGTTTAAAAAAAATATTTAGAAAATACTATTTAAAAAATTGATGGGATTTAATTCTTTGACAAATTATTTGATTTGACAAATATAAGATGAGATATTGAACATGATAAAAAATATTTAGAAGATCTACAACTTGATATATGTATGACAAGGAGTTGATTTCCTCTGCACAAAATAATAGAAGTCAACTATCACATGATTATAATTAACCAAGTATAAATAGAAAAATTTTTTTTTCTGTACTTTTAAATTGTAAATTGGGAGTAAGACAAGGATGATTATCAAACATTATTACATGGATCATGATCCATACAGTTGTGTGGACCATAAATAAAAAGTACATTTTTAATATATTAAACGTACATTATTTTTGTACATAAAGTACATTATTTGAGTACTGAAGGTATATTATTTTATATACTATTAAATAATATACATTCAATATAAAAATAATGTACTTTTAGTATATTAAAAATGTATTTCGTATTCATGGTCCACACAATAATTTGCCGAAGACTATTCTAGTATTTTTATACTAATCCACCCCTAACTAACTCCACTAGAATAGGACGGGTAGTCAGAACCCCGACCAAGTCCATCGCCGAGGCCGGCCTCAGGTGCACTGAGCGCCCAAGGCCGAGGCCAAGGTTGGCTTCCAGGTTGCTCTTATTTCCTCCTCGGGTTAGTTCGTCCAGAATCCGTTTCTAATATATCCATAAGAATAGGACGGGTAGTTAGAACCCCGACCAAGTCCATGGCCGAGGCCGGCCTCAGGTGCACTGAGCACCCAAGGCCGAGGCCAAGGTTGGCTTCCAGGTTGCTCTTATTTCCTCCTCGAGTTAGTCCGTCCAGAATCCGTTTCTAATATATCCATAAGAATATGACGGGTAGTTAGAACCCCGACCAAGTCCATCGCCGAGGCCGGCCTCAGGTGCACTGAGCGCCCAAGGCCGAGGCCAAGGTTGGCTTCCAGGTTGCTCTTATTTCCTCCTCGGGTTAGTCCGTCCAAAATCCGTTTTTAATATATCCATAAGGTCCAATAAAAATGAATGCAATTATGCAAACACAAACTCCTACCATCAGTCTAATTTTAATTTTCGTTATGTATAACAAATCCATACCACAAATAACAGCCAGACAGAATTATGCAATGGAAGATAAAAACATATGCTAATAAGTTAATATTTGTTTAATAGGGGCAGTATCTCTTTTGTTAGAACTGGGCAGCCCAGATTATGATTGAGCTAACAGCAAGAGAGTTCTACTGGTGAAAAGGAGAACAAAAATACAGAAACATAAAGGGCATTACAGAATAGCTACTTTTTTTTCAACATCCTAATAATCTGATGATTCTTTCATCTATTCACAAGCCAGTTTGGTGTCAAAGCTACTCAAGCAGATAGCAAAAGCCTGAAATGCAGAAAGCGGGTAGCGATAATCCATCGTGAACATGTCTTTCCCAACCTTACCGAATTGCAGGATGATTTTGTCGGGATCAGACTGGCCGCTCGGCTGCGAGGTTGAAATCGGTGCCCCGGGAGCTGCAATCAACTGGAAGTTCTTGACAGATGCCACCGTAACCCTTCCTCGAAAGTTTAGGCACCAGCATTGTAGTTGCTCGTGCCAGCGTGGTGACTTGTTCTTTAGGACTAAAGGTCTCGTCTTGTTGCAATCGTCCCCGCCTTCGCTGGTCGACGACACGCCTATGTCGGAGAATCGAGCGCTGTTGAACTCGGTTGTCCGGTCGAAAGATTTCGAGAAAGACATGCTCCGGAATGAGTCCTCGAGGGACCTTGGACAAAGCTCGGGTTGGCCAGGCACTATGCCATCAGCCTCGAGGGCCGAGGCAGGAATCGAGTGCATGACACAGTGCATTCTCCTTGGACCCCGGGTTCCAAGCACATTCAGTTCATAAGCAATCTGGGCTATGTTGTAGCTTCCGGTCGGGACTTTAGGCGAGACTTTCTTGGAATTGAACCTACGGCTAGTACGCCCCGGTGGAGGGATGTGGGCACTAGTATGCGGGGGCTGAGTGTCATAGATTTTGAACTTCGTACCCAGAAAATTCGATCTGGTACAAAATCACACCATTATCTTATTAGCTATTAACTATTAAGCACTCTTAAAAAGCAGTATGGGTTTGAGAAAGTAGTTATGAACAGATACTGCATTGTAATAGAGTCAGTAGTATTCAAAAAAAAAAAAAAAGAGCAGCGGGTTTTTTGACATGTCACTATAGATATATACAAGAAGACCGAACAAGAATTCATTCTTAAATTACCTTAGTTTTCCAATATAAGTGTTGCTGGATCGTGAGATGCTTTCTGCATCCATCGAGATAATATATTCTGTGCAGGTGGTTCTCCGTGTTCGTTTTGCAGAGAGAAGGAACTTTCCATTTTCAACTAGCAAAGCTACAAAGAAGAGTAGAAAAATAGAACCGGGATGCTTTCATATTTCATTAAGAAAACGTGAATTAACTAGACCAAAAACGTCGAATTTGCTTACCAGGACTAAGACACAAGAAAAGATGGTACGTCAAATTAGACTTGTCTCGCTTGATGAAGCACTGTATCATTCCATCTCGAGGTCCGGGCTGATAATGAAAACGAACAATTCAGCAAATCCCTTCCGCAAAATTAGTTAAAACTTTACAATAGAGAGTCAATTTAATATGCAATTTATATTTCACGATCAAGATTTTAGAAACTGATATAGTTTTTTGAAAGAGTGACAAGGAGGGTGAAGGAGGACTCGGGAGTAGGGGTGAGCAAAATTGAAGCATGTGCTCCATCTCAACTAAAAGCCTAAGCTGATAGTTGGATTGCACATTAATGGCTATATGCTTAACAAGCAAACGGTTGGTCGGTTACGTAACCGACTGAATAACCGAAAAAACCGATCATAATTTTTGACCCTCCTAACCGACCGAACATATGGACTTGAAGCAATATACAAAGCATAAACATATGGACTTGAAGCAAGAAGCTACCTGTTTTAGTGAAACGGGGAAAGTGAGCTTCCCACACGACTCGGGACCTCGAACAATTTCCTTGCACATACCCCTCCACGATCTGCAAACAGCAGCAAAGGCAACAACATTCTTACGAGCGGGCCATGTGCTCTCGCTCTCCTCTAACCTTCTGATTACATCGAAAAGTAGCTCGGGCGGGAGATTAGCCCAACAACTGTCCTGAATTACCGGGAGCTGGTCGATCAAGTAGTGAAACGAACCATGAGACCTTCCCCTATGATGAACGGGCAGCCTCCTATCAAAGCTCCGCATGGATAAGCTCCCGAAGCTATCTCTAACATCACGAACTATACTACGGAACGACATCTAATCTGCAAGTGAACTGTCGTATTTAACTACTCTTTGTCGGGTAGTCCTCTTTCCCGCAAATTACAGCTCACTTTGATAAACGAAAACAAATTGGGCTTCAGTGACGGGAATGAATAATTAAAAAGCAAAGAGAAAGGTGCGAAAGCAACAATGGCACTCAAAAAGAAAAGAAAGACAAAAAAGAAGAAAAGGAGTGAATAAAAGAGATGGCTTCACATGCACATTAAAGCAAATCATATCACTTTTACAACTTTTATAGATTCTTAATTAGTTTTCAATAATTTCAATCTCAAAGCCGAAAACAAAGATTAGCAAAAGCTAATCGAGGTCTATCCTGCACAGAAGATAACCAAAATCCATATAAAGGGCAAAGATTCACAACCCTTTAACAATTAACAGATATTATAAACCAAACTACTTTACTTAGTGTTCGATCCATATCGTTTAGAACACTTGCACTAAAAGCAAAAGGCGCTTTTGCCACCACCACGATTCCACAAATATCAGAAAAGCAAACACGATATATATATGCGAACAAAGAATCTAACAATCAAACTCACAAGTTGTTCTGCTACAGAAAAAGGGAAAATTTCAATAACCAGTCCCCAAAACCGAGTTCAATCCAACAATTTCAACACGATTAATTCTGATCTCAAGCCGAGTATATTCAATATTTCAGGCCTTAAAAGCTCACTTACCATATACTAAATTTCTTTCAGTTCATACCATCCAGTGAGAAAACAGACCACAATAATCTATGCTTCTAAGCTAAGGTCTAAGCCTGAACAAACCTGATAGATATAACATAACCCCACTAAAGCTACAAGCCTTCTCAGGACTCAGGAAATCTATAACAGCCAACATAACACATAGCCAAATTGGGAAAATTAAGGTCTTTTGTTGTTCTCCTCCCAGAGGGGACCAAGGAAAACAAATCAGAGCAAAATATCATGATTCTCAGCATATTTACTCAACAAAAAAGCTAGATTCTTAGAAAGAGAAACACATAAGACAAAAAAAGAAGAAGCTAGAGAATTACAGAAACAGATATCCTGCTACCATCCAAGATCATCAATAAACAAACCTGGGTCAGAAACAGATCTGTACCTTAGATCAAGAAACTCCACAAAGATGAATTGAAAGACCCCAGATTAATACCACTCAAAAGTTGAGAACTTTACAACAGATCAGGGGAAAAACCAGTAAGTTTGTAGATATCTATGGATGGGAAGATTAAAAACCTTATCTTTCACGCTCTACAGCAACTTTAAGCCTCACCCGAGCTCAAACCCGAAGATTAAATCTAGTTTAAAGAACCAGAAAGAGACGATGGAGATGAAGAAGGACAATGGGAAAAAGAGGAAAGAAGACAGAAAAAGTCTATGCTTACTTTTTATCAAAAATATTGATTGTTTGGGGGATTCACAGTAATATTATATTGGCAATAACGTGTCCAGTAGTACCTCACTACTACTCGGAAGCATCGTATGAACATCCTAATTCCTAACCGTGGAGCTTTTGACTTTCCGGTTTTTAACGTTAATTGAGGATGAGCGTGACACCTAAAACTTTAACCCCAGAAAGGTCGTAAAAGGTTTACTGTTAATCTCCTACGGTCAATTGACAAAATTGGTATACTATGTGGATAATACCCATTGTTTTTTTTTTTCATTTAATTTTATATTTTATTTGGATAATTCATAATAGGTTACGCGTTTATTTTAAATTATAATAGAATATATTAGTAAATTAATCATTCAACGGGAAGCGTTACACGACTCTTCAGAGCGAAGCGTTACACGACTCTTGAGTCTAGATACTTCTTGAACATAACGTCAATGGATAAGGATGTAATGATTATTTGTTAATTTTCTAATTTTAGTTAGTGTTTGTTGATATAAAGAAAGTTTGAACAATTCAAAGTATATCTACCCTTGTCTCCTACCATAAATATTAAAAAAAAAATTTATTATAAATTTTGTGTAGTATACACTAAGAAATAATTAAAGTTTTCTTATAGGATAAATATCTGATTATATTTTGGTATATAAAAAGTGAATATTGCTATATTTTTCTTTATGATTTTACCTCCTAAAGTAGTATGGAGTAGTACTTAATTTATTCTTTTTTTTTTTATTTGATTAATAAGTATTTGTACTCTGTATATTAACTTTTTAATGGAGTAAAATTGACCAATTCACAATAACTAGTAAGTAAAGATAATTTTGTTACCACGTTATGTGGCAACCAGTAAAAGATAAAGTTAAAAATAAAAATAGCATTATTCATAGAAAGTTTAAGTAAAATGAAATTGAATACATTAAGAATAACATAATTTGCTCTTTGCCCTGAAATTTTTAAAAATTAATATTTTGGGTTACATATTTATGTTCCTATGTGTGAGTAGGCTTTTTTTTTTTTTTTTTTTTTTTTTTTTTTTTTTTATCGGATGACGCAGAGATTCGAACCCATGATCTTTGAAGCATGTGCTCCATCTCAACTAAAAGTTTAAGGTGATAGTTGAATTGTACATTTATGTTTATACATATTATATGCTCATCATTCACAATTAACATATATTGATGGGTGAGTGTCAAATTGTAACAATTTGACTTGCCTAGAGGGGCATCTTTTCATCTTTTGTTGCTAAAGATATAGCTATGATAAAGGCAAATTAATTGATGAAAAAACAAAAACAACTTCTTTTTCTTTCTCTCTTTTTGTTTTTTGTTTTTTGTTTTTTGTTTTTTTTTTTTTTTTTTGGCTTTTTTCCTCACACATGCACATTTCACGTTCAAAAGCGGTGGAGGCGTTTAATATGCAAGTCAGCAACTAATACCGTCCAGCACTCTTTTCTGACTTTGACAATTTGTGCACATTATTGCCCTTTTGAAAGTCATATCCTCCATGATCCACGCAATTCTTCCTAGAAAAACAAAAAACAAATAAAATTTAGTAAACAAAAGATACTCGCTACTAGGACCAATATGCATTATTGAAATGGATAAGTAATTTGTATTTTGAAAATATCCTATTAAGTTATGTAGTGTAATGTCTTCACTTTTAAAAGTGTTCGAGTTCAAGTAGAAAGTTTTCCTAACACAACTATTTTGACGGAAGCAATAGTTTTCACAATACTCTTACACAATAAAGTATATGAAGACAAAAACAATATTATAGTCGATTTCTTGTTAACATAATATAATGAGCGCTTAAAATCAGGGCAAAGCATCATAGGAGTATCCAAATTTGATCCCTAGTTGGAGCATTAGTTTTGGATACTCTTATCTTATTTTATGTGTCGGGTTTGACGAATGAAACTTGATTTAAATTATTTATTTATTTATTTATTTATTTATTTATTTTATTATTATTATTATTATTATTATTATTATTATTATTATTATTATTATTATTATTATTATTATTATTATTATTATTATTATTAAACAAAGAAGAATAGTTTGTTTGACCAATGAATTGTAAATATGATAGGTAAAATGAGATAGTGGCGAAGTATCTTTTATTTGATCTTAGTATGATATTTTACTGTGTTTTTCATATTATTGATCATGAACTAATAAATTACATGTATGATATATGAAAAAGATTTATATATAATGAATTTAAATGCCAAATGATAAACAACGAAAAGATGTTAAAATATAAAAAGAACAATAATGGATTATAACAACGATGTAAAATCATATATTATAAATTGCATAAGACTTCTTTATATACAATTTTCAAGTATGGGGTCAGAATGAAATTGGGCCGTAATATATAATTTTTTTGATTGACGAGAAAAACTCTCAGTCAATATTGAAGAATGTGCACTGGGTTTATTCATGTGTAATAGCGGACAAATCATATAAAATATGTAAATTACATTAAAAGATCGGATATTATAAAAAATTAAATATGTAACTTTAGTATGAAAAAAAAAATATGTAACTTTTTGGAATGAAAATTATGCTCCAATTACTCAGCTTCCTATTTCGGGGCAAAATATACAAATTTCAAGTATAGGTTTTTGTGGTTTGTAAAGCCCAAGACTTAGAATGAGGTCAAATGGCAATTATGCTATGCAATTGTGTGCACCATGCATGATGCACACTATTGCAAAACGACGCCATTTTAAATTTAAAAAATAAAATAAAATTTCATTGCCGTTAACGGCGTTGGGCGGTTTCCTTTTGCATTCAAACATTATATTCTCTCTTCGCAATTGCACAATTTAGAAATTATGAATCTACAATATAGAAATTATGAATCTACAGTATTAGATTTGTGAATATGTGATAGAACTATATGTTCATAATTTTATAAATATATTGTTTATAGGGAAAATGGTCAAATAGACCCTTGAACTATAAGTAAATGTTTATAATTATAGAGCTATATGTTCATAATTTTCAATGTTCATATTCATAATTGTTGAACTTTGTATTCACAAATCACAGAACTATATATTCATAATTTGATAACTATACAGTTTAGAAATTATGAATCTACAATACAAAAATTATGAATCTGCAGTATAGAAATTATGAATCAACTGTATTTAAATTGTGAATCTACGGTTTAAAAATTATGAATCTACAATATAGATTTTATAAATCTACAATATAAAAATTATAAATTGAAAGTTTGAAACTATACGCACCTGGCATGATACACATGATTGCACAGTATAACATTCAAAGTCAAATAGTTTTCAAGTATACACGATCCAGCTACATAATATAGTGTATTGGGCCATTCATGTCCACGAAAGCTAAGGAAATCAACACACATTTCTTATTGGATTCAAATGTAACCAAACTCTAAAGTGAATGCCTCAAGGATCTCAAATTATTCTGTAAACCCGCATTCAAATGTTCATAAATTACATATAAACATTTACTATTTACCTTTTAAAATTTCACAATGTGCGTGAGATATGTGCTTAATGTGCGTGAGTGTGTAATGTTTAATGTGCGTGAGTTTTGTACTTAATGTGCGTGAGTTTTGTGCGTAATGTGCGTGAGTGTGTACTTAATGTGAGTTGTTGTTGAAACTTTAAAGTGCATGAGTTTTATGTTTAATGTGCCTGAGTTTTGTGCTTAATGTGCGTGATTCGTGTGCTTAAGGTGCGTGAGTTTTGTACTTAATGTGCGTGAGTGTATACTTGATGTGAGTTGTATTTAAAACTTAAGGTGCGTGTGTTTTTGTACTTAACATGCGTGAGACTTGTAGGTCAGATTAATGCTTAAGGTGCGTCCACCCGCATAACTGCCCGGAAATCTCAAATGCACCTGATTCCTTCCCTAAGCAGATATATATGATATATACCTCTCGGTGTAGAGGGCAATGGGGAGAATAAAAGCAGCAGCAAAGATGAAACGATAAGCAATAAGAATCCTCAAGCTCATCCCATCATTTGAAGCCACTTTGTAGAAAACACTCATCCCACCGAACGCTACCATAACCGTCATCATCATCATAACCGGCTTCATCCCATCAACCAAATCCCACACTTTTCTCATCATCATCATCATCATCTCCGACGATATGATCTGTAAAGCGCCAAAATCACTACGTAAGTATATATATATATAACTCCATAAATTAAACACCTTAATTAGCTTGCATGTTCGCTCCAGAAAACGCAAAAGATCATCAAGAAAAGCCCGAGAACGTATCCATGACGCACATGTTTTCCCAACTTCTTGAATATATATATATATATATATATATATGGAAGAAAGGTGGTGCTGCGCGCGGCGGTGTTGGTGGTTGCAGAGGCGGCGCCCACCGGAGGGTAGAGTTCAAGGTTTCTTGCAATATTTGCCGGCCGGAGATGGAGATTGTGGCTAGCTGGCCGGCCGGAGATTGTGACTGGAGTGGAGATCAGAGGAAGATAGAAGTGATATATATAAATAGGCAATCGTCAAAGGAGTTGAGATGTCTAGCTAGGAAGTTCAGGGAGGCATAGAAGGACAATTTAGTTTTATACATACACCTTCAATTCTAACGAAATATATAACAACATACAATAATAATAATATAATAAATGTAAAAATAATAATAATAAGACAATTTAAGTTTTTAATATCAAGACTATGTGGTGTAATGGTACCTGGGTTGGACTTTTATTTAGAAGGTTGTGAATTCGAGCAATTGGGAAAAGATACTACAATGTAATAGAGCCAATAGCATCCAATTGTGAGTTTGAGCCTATAACTAGCTGCATGCTTTTGTATACCTAATAGTTTTTTCTTAAATACATGTATTGAGATTATAATACCTATTATTCGAAGAAAGTCCAAGATTCAATATGATTTGACATGGTCTTAGCTTGTTTGATTGTGATGTTTGATAGGCTAGGTGTTGGACTTGGCCCTTAGGGGCTTTACCGGCCCAACCTCCGCCTAACAATTCGCCCTCCTAGTACCAACCACTTGTTAAGATTAAGCGTTTACCACTCACGCGAAAAGCTATTGCTAGTAGCGAAGACGCAACTTATTTATTTACTTATAGACCTTTATCACATTGTTCAAGACAAGTTAGGGACTTTATCGGCCTCCGCCTAATAATTTCTCAGTCACCCATACTAGACATAACCCCTTTACCGGCCCTGCCTAATATGTAGAGTAAAAAATGTCAAAACTACCCAATGTCAAGAAAAAGGTCAAGAGTAAATGAGTCTCTTGCTCTTAGTTGTCCAAATAGTGGTGTGGCCATGATAGAAGAGCAACTTAGAAAAGAGCTTAATAAGCAATAATGCCAAAAAAGGGTTCATAGTGAAAGAGTCATTAGCTTCCGCTTGTAGATATTACATTAGTGGAAAGACAACTTAGCAAAATATTATCCGATACTTGATAAGATTTGGAAGTAGTGGTAAAAAACATAATATAAATAACTACGTACGCACCTACGTCTTGCTAGCTGCCACCTTCCTCTTGTTGATCTTTTTGACCAGTAAGGTTAATATTCAACCAAAAGCAGTAAAATCAATGCATAAGTGAATGATAATAATTACCAAAAAGGTTATTTTTCACATTATATTGATGGTTACTATTATCGTGTAAACGTGGTGTTAGGTAAGCCTGCAACGTCGATATATGGCACATGTATGTTCACTGAATTTATACTTACAAATTAGTATTTGTTTTATACTTTCCCAATCTTTTTAACTCATTCTGTGATAGATCAGATCATCTATTTGAAATGGTAACAGAAGTGTTATCACACTACATAATAGTTGACCCTTTCTTTTCTTATAAAATCGACTTTGGACCATATTATAGACCATGTATGTCGCTTAGCAATCCTGAATTAAGTTTAAGTACCACTCATAATCTTTTTATCAAACTAATTAATATGAGATCTTATCACATATCATATTAGTAACCCCAGCCCTTAAGTCAACTATTTGAGCAAAAGGGAAAGGTGGAGAGTTTAATTTGCTTCTGAATTCCGGCCTATATATATGTAGGACTTTAATTTATATGCATGTATAGTGGTAGAAACGTGCGGTACTTTAGATGAGGTGAAAAAACTCAAATTTGTTTCACGCAAAAAAAGTTGGAAAGATGAAGCATCCATATTATTTGGCACATCTACGCTGTCAACCAATATTAATTAATCTACTTAACCTTTAGTGGAATTAAGTTTGCGTTGTTTATTCTTCCTCCCCCCCCCCCCCCCCCCCCCCTCTCCTTTAATTTTTTAACACATTTTAAGGTGTGTTTGGTTTACACGTGAGAATCGAATCAGAATTAGAATCAAATATTTGATAATGATAATGTGTTTTGGTGAAAGCATTTTAATTTGCATGCTTGGGCGTCTTTAATTGCTCTCTTGATGAAGATATTTTTTGGTAGTTTTTTTAAGAGTATTCTTATGAAAGTGGCCGGGATATGTAACTAGGGTATTTTAGAAACTTGAAAAATAATTCAAAAAAAAAAACTTGAAAAATAATTTTCAGAAATTTTTTAAAAAGATTTTTAGTGTTTGTGCATATAAAATATGATGTTGATAAAGAAAAATATGTATTCTGGTAAAAAAAAGAAGAAGATAATTTTGTTCGAAATTATCTTTCGAAAAAAATCTCAAAATATATTTTTCAAATTCATTTTTCAGGTTCAGTTCTCCCTCTCTTTATATAGTGTCAATTCAAATGAGTTGATCGATTACTTGTCATTTTTCTAATTATTATTTGGATTAGACTAGGTTAACTAGACCTCAGACACATGAAAACATAAATTGAGCCAAATTAACTTAGAAACCCAATATTACATTGTTCACTTCTATGTCGTACAAAGTGTCATTGCTCTCGGTTGAAAGTAAGCCTTAAGTAATAACTAATAACTGATATATATACTATCATCTATTAGAGATTCATAGGCTCTAGACCTCTAGTAGGGAATTTTTTTGTTATTATTATTATGTCATAACAATTATAATAGTCGAATAAGTAATTAAAACATATGAGAATTCCATATTAATAGTTCATAAATTTAATTAAGACAAATATGTATCCTCTTAAATCTAATACTACTCCACAATTTCTTGAAGAGTTTATATAGAATCGTATTACGGATTCATGGTATTTAGTAGTCTAATTAAGCCCAGTAACAAACAAACATTCCAGCTAGTATATTTGACCTAGTTAACATTATTGATCTTGTATTCACAAATTATTGATTAATATTTAATAGATCACAGATTATAATGACACTTTTAATTTTCAATTGTTACTTGTTATATAATTTAATCACTCTCATTTTTAATATTTAGAAATCTAGACTCTCAATTGTTTCCAGTGCTATCAATTTGGTTTTAGGGTTTTGCACATATATGTCCTTTTAAAATTTCACACTTAGTTACCGAAGGTTATTAATTGAGTGGTTAATAACGTTGAGAACAATAATTGAGAAGCCGGATATATATATATGCAAAAAAATAAAATTATATGATACTTATTAGTGCATATTTCACCGGTTGCAACCCAAAATCGAATGAAAAAAGTTTTAAGTTTGTATTAGAAACTATGATGACAATATAATGTCCTCATAGAGTCATAGTATCATATACAAATCTAATTAACCTAAAACTTCTCCAATGTTTTAGGGTTAGTTGTAGTACTCAGAACCAGTGATATTGGTGTTGATTGACATCAACTCTATATATATTATGAATCTAAAATAAATTTACAGTATAAAAATTATGAATTGAAATTGTGTGCACCTTACATGATACACACGGTTGCACAGTATAACATTCAAAGTCAAATAGTTTTCAAGTATACACGATCCGGCTACATAATATAGTGTATTGGGCCATTCATGTCCACGAAAGCTAAGGAAATCAACACACATTTCTTATTGGATTCTAATGTAACCAAACTCAAAAGTGAATGCCCCAAGGATTGAGAATTATTCTGTAAACCCGCATTCAAATGTTCATAAATTATATATAAATATTCACAATTTACCTTTTAAAATTTCACAATTTAAATACTATAAATACACAATTTTAACATATATGTATTGATTACCTTGTTTTGTATTCACAAGTTTTTTTCAAATAGTGCAGTCACACAATATTAATAGAGTAAGATTTGATGATCATGTATTGTATTCACAATTTCCCTTCTACCGTTGTTATGTTTTGACTTAGAAACACAATTTATATTCTAGAAGTTCACAATTCTAATACTAAAAATACATAATTTATACGTTGTTTAGGACTATGGTCCACTTTGCAAGGTGGACCCTAGTCCATGGTATAACAACTTGATCGCTTGCTGATTTTAAGTATCGGCCTACGAGGTATTATATGAGGCCAGGAGTGGAGCACAATATCAATCCTTATACAATGGATCATAGTTCACAATGTAGTGTGGATCTTGGTGCATGTGTATATAACTTGTATTGTGAGTTTTTGTGTCTATTATAAAATTCTGTACGTTAAGAGTATTAATTATGTACATGAAATAAATTAGTAAATGTATCTTATGTTATGAATTTTTGTATCTTGTATTGTAAAATTTTGTGCCTATGAAACAAATTATGTACCTAAATCAGATTTGAAAAATAAGCTAAGTATAAAACATGTGTATGTGTATTGTGTTATGATTTGTTGTGTCTTGTATTTTGAAATTATGTACCTTACGAGTATAAATTATGTATCTCGTCGTTTCGATTTAATGTCCATAATGCTATGTTGACTCTAGTCCATGATATAAATTCTTCCACATGGCATAGTTAATATGGTTGAATTAACCCCAAATATTTCAAAGTTACATCCTTGCGAGTTAATAGTGTAATTAACTGCAATAACAAATTAAACCAACATTAGTAGTATATTTGACCTAATTAACATTGTTATTGTATTAACAATTTGTTGATTACTACCAAGAAAGTAGTCTAAACATTAAAATCTCCTTTACGCATCCCCTTCTCCTCCTCATCAACATCTACTTCTTCTGCTCCCAACATCATCATCAAATTGGGCCCAACGGCAACAAGGTTGTTGCCAACGTTAACGTCTTTCTCGTTGGGAACTTCTTCTTCGTCGTCGCCGGAACTTGTTGACGGCGTCAACTTGGATGATACTCCCTCCATTTCCTTTTGCTTCCCCCATATCACCATATATAGCCCCACGATTATGGCCACCGCTCCAATCACACTGTCACAACAAATTAAATGCATAATGTGATCATCAATAAATCTCATAATTGCTTCATATATTATTATATTGTTATTCCGATTCCTTGCTAACTATTGTTAATATTTCATTCGTTTTAGAGTTTGGCATGGTTTTTTTTTTTTTTTTTTTTTAATTTGAATTTTACACACATCTCCCGAAGACTTTTAACTGACGAGGGACCAGATTTACAATGTTGTGAATGATTGAAGGATTGGATTTCTAAACATTGAAAACGATGAACTAAATTACCTAAACAGTAAGGATTAAAATATCAAATTTGAAATTTTCCTCACACACACACATACACATACACACACACAAGTTAAAGAGCATTGTATATAACTTATAAGTAGAATATTAATTATATACCATCCCAAGTATAGGTTCTCTTTGAGGAACAATGTGCTGGTAATGGCGACGCAGACGAGCATGAAGGGGTTGAAGGCGGATACAAATAATGGGCCTCTCATGCGCACGCTGCACATCATAAAACATATGGCCAATGCAGAGGCCACCACCCCCTACAAACACAAAATTCAATAACTCCATCTTTAATATTAAATAAGGGAAATCTGTGATCACTATTAAGGATTATATGGGGTAAAATTAAATAAGAATATTTTATAACATAGAATAAAATTGAAAGAGAAAAATGAGTGTATTTACCGCGTAAACAACTATGAGGAGTCTAATGTTCCACCCTAGTTTCCATTGGCTCCAATCCCTCTCGGTACAAAGTGCATACCCTGCAGCTTGGAGTGAGCCCATGATGGTGATCAAGGCCGTGCTGGAATAGTGGCAAGGGTACAACTCGCTCATCTTAGCCTAAACATCACCAAAAGGTAAACCAGCTTATTAGGTTGTTCATAGCTGATCGGCTTGATCAAAGCTTACTATATCTTAATTAAGATGTGTATAGTACCTGAATAATTAAGGAAATCGCGTTGGAGAGAACGCAGGCCAGTGCTAGTAAAACACCCAAAATGTGAGAATGAGGGTCCTCGTGCAATATTACATGTCCATTTCTATTGTCTAGCAACGGTTGGGATTGAGTTGGGCGGATTTTAAGTTCCTTCCCTCTATAGAATGTTAGCACCATTGCTCCCCCAATCCCTATTAGTGTTCCCATCAACTTTGCCTGCCCTGCTCTCCTTCTCAGCCCCAACTTCTCCAATCTAATATAACACGTTATTAGTTAATATAAGACGTAATCCGTGTAAGTACATATTTATTTTGATACCGAATTGAAGGATATACCCGAAGGGAAGGGCTAAGATGAAGGTAAAAGCCGGAATGAGGTTAATGATGGCAGTGGCAAACGTTGCTGAGGTTAAGACTAAGCTCTCTGCAAACAAATTTTGAGCCATTGAACCCCTGCATGCACGACTCAATTTAATTATAAATTCAAGTAAATAAAAAAAAAATTAAATAATTATTTTTTTTTAATTTTTAATAATACTTGAGATTAAAACATGGAAAAGGGTTCTGAATTACATACCCAAATAATGCACAAGAAAAGGCTTGTAAGAGAATCATCCAAGTCAGCTTAGGCCTGGTCTTTCTGTAAGAATTAATGGTGCAACAATATATAAAAGTGTGATTAAAAAGGGATAAAATAATTAAGCATATATATATATATATATAGATACCTCTCGGTGTAGAGGGCAATGGGGAGAATAAAAGCAGCAGCAAAGATGAAACGATAAGCAATAAGAATCCTCAAGCTCATCCCATCATTTGAAGCCACTTTGTAGAAAACACTCATCCCACCGAACGCTACCATAACCGTCATCATCATCATAACCGGCTTCATCTCATCAACAAAATCCCACACTTTTCTCATCATCATCATCATCTCCGACGATATGATCTGTAAAGCGCCAAAATCACTACGTAAGTATATATATAACTCCATAAATTAAACACCTTAATTAGCTTGCATGTTCGCTCCAGAAAACCCAAAAGATCATCAAGAAAAGCCCAAGAACGTATCCGGCCATGACGCACATGTTTTCCGGCGGTGTTGGTGGTTGCAGAGGCGGCGCCGGAGGGTAGAATTCAAGGTTTCTTGGAATATTTGCCGGCCGGAGATGGAGATTGTGGCTGCGGGGCTGGCCGGCCGGAGATTGTGACTGGAGTAGTGGAGATCAGAGGAAGATAGAAGTGATATAAATAGGCAATCGTCAAAGGAGTTGATGAGATGTCTAGCTAGCTAGGAAGTTCAGGGAGGCATAGCAGGAGAATTTAGTTTTGTACACCTTTAATTCTCACGAAATATATAACAATAATAATAATATAATAAGTGTAAAAATAATAATAATAAGACAATTTAAGTTTTTAATCAAAATATAATAATATTATATATAGCTAGTTACATGCTTTTGTACATCTAGCTTTTTCCTAAATACATGTGTAATGTGTTGGAATTATAATATTTGATGATATTTCCGGATTTGAATATTATATTGACGTCTATTATTAAAAAAAAAAGGTTTAATGTTCAATAGTTCAATCCATCAAGAATTAAGACAAATTGGTGACGTTCTAGACGCGTATTGCGTAAAGAGAGAGTCTGAGTGGACAAAGGGTAGGGGTGCAGATCAGATCGAGCTACACATGGCAAATTTAGCGGCCTAGGCCACCTCCTCTCATATTATTTAGCAAATTCCGGAATATTTTTCCCCTCTAATGGCAGAATCTTAGCTAGCAAAGAGGTTTTGTGTTGGCTCAGGGATTGAGGAGAGCAGGTGATAGAGCTTCACACGGACTATTTATTTTTTAGCGCCATTTGACCGCGGCCACCGTTACTCTTCGTTCTTACGTCGGCTAAGCCATTGACGATTGCAAATCCTTTATATCTACTTTCAACCAATGCTTTATTAATTTTGTTCCTAGATCAGCTAATTTAATAGCTCATACTGTTGCTTCTACAACTTTGCTCAGTCTACTGTTTTGTATTAGTGTTTTATCTCTCCCGACTCTGTTTTTATCTTTAATATATGCCATTGGTTGCTTTCAAAAATAAATCTACTCATTATATGCTCGTGAATGTTCTTAATTAAACCTTCAACACCTTTATAAATACAACCATTAACGTTTCATTACTAATTTGATTATCAAGATTTATCCCTAATACCAAATTCTGGTATTCGGGTCCAAAATCTAACAAGTATTTATTTATATTTAGAAAATTGATATTTTTGGCGTTTGAATTGTTTCACTTTTGAAATTTTGGTCCATGTAAATTAATTCAAACAAATTTTGTACTTCTTTGTTTGTAATGTTGTACTTTTAGTTTCTAGTGTTATATAATTGTCAAACTCTATTAACATATGGAGTTATTTTTATTATTTAGAATTAATATTCACTATTAAAATTAATATTTTGATGTAGAGAGTGAAATTTTAACAATGTATTTTTTTTTTTTTGTTGCCCAAAGGTATCCCTCTAGCCGATAGTCAGAAGACTAATCCCGTCCTTACTGTCAGCACACTAACAGGGCGTTTGGTTGGAAGGGGGGAATTACGTGGGAAAGAAATTGCAATTCCATGGGAGATGAATTACTGGGAATAAAGTGGAAATTTAAATTTCAGTGTTTGGTTTACAGGAATAGAATTACTGGGAATTTCAATTCCAATGTTTGGTATACATGGGAATTGAAAGGGAATAAGTAGTATAAAGTCCAAAATGTCCATTGTTGTTGTGGTATTAATTTTATGTTAAAAAAAAATAGAGGGGTAATTTTGTCTCATCACTAGCTTTTTTTCTTACCAAAATCTCAGGAATTAAAATCACAGGGGGGTACGTGGGATTTTAATTCCATGAAAATGGGGGAGTTGCAATTGCAATTCCTTCCAACCAAACGAAGGAATTTTATGGCCTTTGGAATTAGGTGGGAAGGGAATTTAAATTCCCTCCAACCAAACGCCTTGTAAGTTGTAAGGGACTGGCCAAATGACAAAATAACCTCATAAAAAGAGTTTGGTAACAAAATTTGATAATTATATAACAAGAGGGACTAATTAAAGTGCAAATTACCAAGACTATGTGGTCTAATGGTACCTGGGTTGGACTTCCATTTGGAAGGTTGTGAGTTCAAGCCTCAATGGAGGCGTAATAGAGCCAGTAAATAATTCAGAAGTCAAAAGTGTCGTATTAAAGATCGAGATCAACTTTTCAAAAGTGAAATAATTCAGAAGTCAGAAGTGTCGAAGTGTCGTATTAAAGATCGAGATCAACTTTTCAAAAGTGAAATAATTCAGAAGTCAAAAGTGTCGTATTCCCTTTTATTTATTAATTTTGAGATAACTGATTGTCTCAAATCAAGAAAATTAATAGACAATTTTTACGAAAAATCAAACTTGAAAACTTATGGTACTTAACCCGACAATGTGTGTGTGTATAATATATATATATATATATATATATATATATATATATATATATATATATATATATATATATATATATATATATATATATATATATAGTCGGGTTCTAATGAGAACAATTGAATTGTTTAGGTGAGAACGTGAGAACAAATCGTGTGCATCCATATAATATTTTTTAATGGTCTAGATTAGATTAAGTGTGTGTGAACGCGAATTAAGACGAATTAAATGTGTGCAAACAGAATTAATCATGTTTGCACACATTTAATTTGCATTCACACACACTTAATCTAATTTAGATCATAAAAAATATTAAATGGATACACATGATTTGTTCTCACATTCTCACCTAAATAATTTAAGTGTTTTCATATGATCCTATATATATATATACACACACGTAAGTATTTGAAACATTATAACTGAAATATACGCATTTACGCACGCAGCGGCTGGCTTCTGGCGAGGCGTCAGCCGTGAGGGAAGGCACTGCACGCACCGAAAAATGGAGGAACGAGGTGGAATTTGCATGGCGGAGTTCGCGGCGGTGCGTACACGTCAGCACCGTTTTGTGAACATGGAGCAATGCCACTCTACTGAATTGCTAGCTAGCATTGCATGCAATCGAGCTTTGGTATTGTGAAAATTTTTGTAACGTAATTATTGGAACAGTTTACGTACTGAAATTTGGTTCCGTGTCTTGTGTTCGTTAAAGTTAATACGTTTTGTATTTATGTAATGACACCAACATTTTTAATTTAGTTCTCGTTTAAGTCAAACTATATTGCATCTTATTAGATTTATAAGAAAAAAATTATATTTTTAGTCCCTGAGTTATAATCAAGTTCCGACTCAGTTCCTAAGTTATGTCCGTATCCGAGTGTAGTCCCTCAGTTATGAGCGAAGTGACGAGTTTGGTCCCTGGCGCTAGTGGTGTGTTAACAAAGTTAATTTCAGGGATAAAGAAGCTAAGTAAATTCCTTAATAAAACTTGTAAATTTAGCCAAAATACTTTCTCCTAAATTGATAAAAGCCCTAAGTTGCTTATGTAATCAACAAAGAAACCCGACCTACTCCCTTTTTTCTAAAAAAATCAAATTTCAATATTTCAATTCTATTTATAAAAAAAAAAAAAAAAACAACTTAAATTACAATTTTTTTGACAAATACAAAAATTTGCTCCATAACATGGACAAGCTTGGTATCTTTTTCCTCGATTAGCATAACTCCATGACATTTTGATGGGTAAAAAATTATCACATCTACATCGAAAATTATCCCCAAATTGGAGGAAAGATGAAATACCACAACTAAGAGATGACATCCTATAATTAATGGCTAAATTAGTTCATCAAAACGGTGAATATTGATTATTTATTTAAACATATAAAATAGAGAAACAATTTACCTGTGAATTTCGCAGCTTGGAAGTGGACGAATTTGAAATTTCAAGCTTGGGGAAGAAAAAAAACCTTCAATTATAGGTATAAGAAGAAAAGAATGACTGTTGCGCAATGGGTTTCAACATAAGAAGGGGATTATAATTTGAAATTCATATTTTACCCCTCTACTATTAAATTGTTTTTAAGTTTTCCATTAGCTGCCGACGAAGTATTAACACTAGGGACCAAACTCGCTACTTCGCTCATAACTGAGGGACTAAACTCAGATTCGGCCATAACTTAAGGAATGAATCGAAACTTAATTATAACTCACTCAATGACTAAAGATGCAATATTTCCTAGATTTAATTAGTAGTTGTAGATAATATCTTTATATACAATTTGGTAATACGTACCTATATATCTTTGTTAAATATATGATATCATAATGTAAATACTATGATCAACTTTGTATAGAAATTTGGTTAAAGTTAGATTTAGATGCGTTGAGTTTTGAATCTCTTTGAATGAGTGAAATTAGTATAGAAATTTGGGCAGCTACGTAGAGCTATGCTCTTTGATTAAATTGGCCATGGTTTTTAGTGATTCCTTAGCTGTAGCTCATTCTTTTTGAAAATTGACATTTCTTGGCCATGATTTTAATTGCAATTTTGAGTAATAAGTAATTAATAATCCACAAACTTTACATAAGAGGTACGTAAATCATATTAACAAAGATTGAATTCGTGACCTTTTATAGATATGAGTATCATACTCTACCTACTCAATCATTCCTTTTGAAGTAATGTTATATGATTTGTATTAGTTGATAGGAGAGGTAGAAAGGGGAAAATAGAAAAATAAAAAAAATAAAAAAGTCAAAATCATTCAATATGATCTCACATGGTCTTCAATTCGGAAGAGGTTGTGAGATGATACATACTTAAATTTAATTGTCTATCATTGATGTTTGAGAGATTGATGTATATATAGTCAATGTTGCAGAAAGCGCTAGGCGCTAGTCGGGAACCTAGCGCACCTAGCGCCACCTAAGCAGTCGAGTAATTCGAGTATATCGTTTTCACTTTTTTTTTTTTTTCATTCTGGGTTAGGAGTTTTTAAACTGTTATAATCCCCAAACTAAACAACTACATATGTGTACATGATTAGAGAAATATAAAAGAAGTTGCTGAGAAGGCAAAAAATAAAAAATAAAAAATCACTTGGTTGAGTTGGGCACCGACTCGATTGAGTTAGACGCTTAACTCAGCCCAGTTAGACGCCTAACTCGACGCCTAAGGCGCTTAGTGGTAAAAAAACATAATAAATAACTACGTACGCACCTACGTCTTGCTAGCTGCATGCCACCTTCCTGTTGTTGATCTTTTTGACTAGTAAGTAAGGCTAGTATTCA